ATTGTAAATAGTCTATCAAACTAATGCCGCCAAAACTGTCAACTTTTGCTCTGTGGTTTATCAAGCCACAGACCTCTAGGGTCTAATTCCAGTAATGGAGGTCAGTCTGGTCAGAATAGTAAGTTGTGTTTATATGAATGCATTTATGCTACATATTCGATTGTTACAAATACTCTTGATTTTTATTTTGTTGCGGATTATTGTTTATTGATCTGTATGGTAGTCTTGTGGTAGACCAATATATTATTTATTTTAACAAGACTGACTGAATGCTGCTGTCGTCGTCGTGTTTTGTACGTATTGCCAGGGAGTTGTTATAGTGTATTGCACACCAACAGCAACATCAATTGCTGTGTTCATCGTGTGTAAAAGACTTTAGGTAGGTAAGCACATTCGATTCAATACTATAATGTAAAATGTTGTTCAGATCACGTTAATTTTTCACTAAAACACACGTTACACCTACTAGACGACAAGCAGTAGTCGACTTACCACAACTACCTAAGTTCACGCTAGGGCCTAGACGTTCGTATAAACAACACAGACAACTTCTCTAGTGTAAACTGTAAACTCTCGCGATAGAAAACAAAATTTCCGCAAAATATTAAACACGTTCGATCCAATACCATTATGTAAAGACTGTGTTTGGTTAGATCACTTTTTTTTCATTTTTAATAACACGTGCACCTGCTACATTAACACGACAGAGGCCTAACCCTACCGACGATCCCGTAAACAATTGGTCAACTACATCAACAAGGTATGCATTATGGAGCTCGCTTACCCTCTCGCGATGAAAAACAAAATGTCGGCAAAGTTTTTCCGACGCATGCGCACATCGAAATTTTCTCCTAAAAACGACTCAAAAATGGTGGTAGGGGGTATATGTTTTATCGCGTACGTCCTACATTTCTCATCTAACATAAAAAACAAACAATTCTTGCACAACTACATGTCCACCAGTTACTATGAGGAAAACATTATACCCACCGTGAGGCACCGTTTAGGAGCCTATTCGTTTACAAACCCGCTGCTCACTTTGCTCACACACACACACACACATTTCATGTTTGAATATCCCATTAGTTCCTTGTGACCTTAAGGTCACAAAGGAACTAAAAAGTAATTATATTGAGATAGCCTATTACTTACCTTGAAGTAAATCATAATAAAGATCCATGTTGCCAATATCCTTACATGTACGAGCAATGACACCAAGTTTGTCTGTCACGTCAGCCTTTTCTGACTGCCATGTACAAAGCATTTGAAATGCTTTGACATCAAAATAAGAAGCCTTCTTGCTTATTGCTTCAAGTTTTTTTGGATTAACTTCAAGTATTCTGCCCATTAAAAACCAATTCTCATCAATAATTTTTGCAATCTTCAATAGCAGCTCATCATCAATTGTTGTAACTGTTTAGGTAAAAAGACATGATATAAGTACACACTATAAAAAATATACTATGATATGCTGATAAAAAATGCATAAAATCAAATTTTAGAATATTATATTAAACTAATTTCAGTGTGTCATAGGTGAATTCAGGGATGAGGGCACCAACCACAAACCCTCTTCCTAAGTTTTTTAAAATGTAAAAAAAAATTAGAAAAAAAGAAATACTGTGTATCTAAATTTAAGTCTGACTGTGCAATTTCCAGCCAAGTAGAGATGCACCTCCCAATAATATATAAAAGTCCCTCCCTAGGCCCCCTCTATTGCAAATTCCTGGACCCATCACTGCATGCAGCACATGTTTTTATATTTAATGTCTTAGTGACAGGGTTAGCTGCTAATTAGAGCCACTCTATTAAAATCTGTGCTGTGTTGTTGAGTACTTAAGATAATAATTTTCTTTTGGCAATCTTTTCAAAATGCTTAATACAAATATGCACGTTTTGACTATAGAAATGCTAAAAGTAGAGTACCACAAACGCCCATTACAAGAATTCAGAAATGTTGCTTGTGTGAAATATCCGAATAAAACAACATACAAAATTTATCTTTTAGCATAACTTACTTCATGATTGGGTACAGCATAATTAGTATTTTGAGTGCCTTATAAATGGATTTCTATTTTATTTAAATTTTTAATCATTTGGGTGTTGTTAGGGACCTAAGTTGTAACTTTTTATGTATTTTATGTCATTTAATTTTTTCATAATGTATCCAACTCCAACCACTGTAGTTGATAATTTCCAACAAATTTCGTATCACAGTTAATAAATTAAATCAACAACTGGAAGAGCTGGCAAATAATGCAATGCATACTATAGCTAGTACATAGCATTTAGGAACATTCTTAATGAATTAAGAGGATATACTGTAACAAAAATGGACTTTTGAAATTTCGATGTCAAATGGAGTTTTGGGGGTGAAGTCCCCAGATGCTCTGACAAAGTCGCATTTCGAGGATCTTATAAATTAGGATTTCTGAAACCCAGAATTTGAGTATAATTTATTTAAATTTCATTTATTTGGGTGCTGTAGGGACCTGAAGAAGTAACATTTTGATGTCCTTTACATCGGTAGGCCTACAGATAATTAGAAACGATTTAATGTTCATAATAGTCAAATTAATCATAGCCCAGGTTTTTCGCTGCAATTCTTGTATTTACAATTTTTACTGATGCTTTTACCTTAATAACTTTTGACTTATTTCGTAGATAATTTTGTACATATATATTTTTATATATATTTAATGATATTTTACTTGACTATTTTATGCTAATTTAATTTATGGTCTCATTGGCAGCGGAGAGCCACTAGGCAGTGATTCAGTTCACTTTTTGGCAATATTGTCTGGCCAATTGAGATTTGTTTTTTCCTCTTGGTTATTTTATGATTGTAAGTTTTAATGTTCTTTGGATGAAATAAATGAAATGAAAGGCCTAGGAATTTGCTAGTACTTCATCGAGGCCGGCATTTGATAACTCAATTACCCTCGGTAAGTCACAGTTTGTGGCTTCAAGATACTCTTTAAATATTCAGACAGCATACTTCTGTGATTTTCTTTTTGTATTATCACTTGCTGCTGAACTCACTAATAACATTCCTACATCATGTTCATCAACCAGTTTAAATCTGGAACACTGCCATTACTCCTAGCCTACCAGTACGTAGTGGGCAGCAGAGCAATTGTCCACTTCCAGGTCAACAAATTAGGCCAAATTTGATTAAATTAGTAGAAGCCTCTTGTTAGATGTGAAAATAATAATTCAAAATACATATTTATTCATACTTGACTGCACTTCTGGAGCATGTGCTTTACTCTTGCCTTTTCCTCTACCTGCCACTACCTCTACCCAGCCATATGAAGAAGTATTTTCTATATATCATAAAGAGAAAAAAAAGTAATCCTTTCATTATTAATACAGGTTATCTTCTTGTTTGGTTCATCTATTAATTTTCTTTTTACCATTCAGCCAATCATTACATTATCATTTACCTTCAAAATTATTTTTAATCCCAAAGCGGCATCTTCGTTCCTACATTTCTATTATTGCAATACTTGCAATTAGCAAAAACAATGTCTGTGTATTAAGCAAAAAGATTATTACTGTAAGTATAGAAGTGTCCCAGTGTTTCTAGAAATAGAAGACACTAGGCGAGTCAAGTGTTGAGTGGTGTGGTTGAGCGGTAAGATATGAGCATTTTTGACTACAGCCTTAACATCTGTGCTGGTTTCCTTGCCCAGGGATTTGGTTGGTGGAACTTTTCTGATGATAGGACTTTAAACTAGAGCAGAGGCATATTTAGTGAGTGCATGGTGGGTGGTTGGGGTAAGGGGTGGTTGGGGGTGTTTAGAACACATCATGCACTCACTAAATCACAAATCATTCACAAGAGTAAAGCACATGCTCCAGAAGTGCAGTCAAGTATGAATAAAAATGTGTTTTTTTTTTGTGTCAAATTTGTAATAAATAAATTAATTAATGGGAAAGGAAGCTTTTACAGTTTTTATTTAATTTATTTATTACAAATTTGACACAAAAAATACAGAAACTGTTGTAGGAGAAAACATGGGCCGAAGGCCCAACACATATGTAGGTACTTCTTCAGAAATAAACATTATGCAGTTAAAAATTAATAAATGAATACTGTTACAAAAACACTTACGAGATCCTTCTTTTTTACTATCAGATATGAAATATGATTTAACTTGGTCAAATAATTTTGGTTTGTTTGACTTTTCACCTGAAATATCAGAAAAGAAATCAGATTTAAATGTGATGATTTAAGACAAATTTTAAAATTGTATCTGCGGGTGGTCTACCAGTTTGTGCAGAACATGGCTTTCAAAAAAATGTTATTCTCGGATGTAAAACCTAAAGTATTACGCAAATGATCAGTTCCTATCAAGTTGTCCTGAACTCTTGCGTCACCCCACCCTTTAATTAAGAAATGTAGTTTAAAAACAGAAAATTACTACTACTACTGTTAAACAAATAAGCAGTGTTGGTACGATCATGTATGCATGTGGCGGACTTATGTAATAAGGTAACAAATATGACTCTATCCTAGCCCTTAGTTAAATTAATTAATTTTATCGAGCTTTTCAGTTTTGTGTTTGGAAGTAAACTGTAAGAGGAAGCAGGGACCATGAACATTTAAACCGACTTTACTTCTTGCACGTGCTGAAACAATCAAAGGGGATTAAGTGATAAAAAAATGCTCCCTGCTGCTAAAGCATGCTGTTTTTGCTCCTCCAAAACACTGCAATTTGCAGTGTTGTATTATTACTAACACCCGTTCTAGCTGGAACTGGAAATGGCCACAAAAAACTGGCCCGCAAAGTTTGGTGCTATAAAATTTCAATCCTAATATTGTATATTGGGTTAAACCTCAGGAAAAGCAATAGGTATTTTTTTTAAACCATATTTATAGATGTGACCTATACAGATTTATAGAAGTGACATAATTTTCCATACTTCATCTTAAACGAAACTCTTTAAAATTTAGATCACCACACGCCATATGCCATGACTTGTTTGCGTATGCCTTAAACTTGTATTGAGTCAAGCTTGCTGCCGTTGCAACTCGACTGAACTCAACCGTCATTAACTGACTTCAAATAGCTGGTAGTGTTTAAGTAGGCTTTCACTCCCAATTGGCGCCTTGAGACGATTTTATTGTGGAAGGCGCACTACAAATATCCCACCATTACCATTACCAATTGCAAGCACTTTTGTTGCTTTAAACTCCAAGTTATCTACAATTATATACCCTATACATAGATTCTAGGCATCTGACTGGTTAAGAAGTGGGCAATAGGAAGTACTATTCCCCTATGGGACAATAATTTCAATCTCTAGGCCACGTTGCTATGTATTTTATGACACGCACTAATTGGCACGGGCCCTCATGGCCCCCCGCTGGATCCGCCACTGGGTCTCAAGATCACCTCGGGGCAATAGATTTCAACATTCCCCTCAAGAGCAGTCAATTTTTTTTGTATTCTAGTTAATTACTAGTGCAGTTAATATACTTGAGTTTGGGTTACTAAATGTCACTTCACAATTCAATCACTTTGCTTTGTTCATTCATAGTGGAAGAAATAGGTTCCCAGCAGGAACGTGTGTCTAAGTATTATGTTGACTAAAGTATCTACATGTAATTCAGTTTAATCAGGAAATGCGTGGTGCTATATTTTTTTTATGACTTTTGTACAGTAATAAGGTACAGTTTTTACATTGAATTTGACACTCGGCGATCAATCCGTTGAAAATAGTTTGGTATAAATGTTTATAGATATAGATATACAGAAAATGACACATCACCCATCATGCACCTCCACCAGATTTACCCTTTCCGCCATCTTTAACTGCCAGATCATAACATTGTGCCTTTGCCCCTGAGGGGGTATAGACCAAAAAACATGGCCAGCTGAGAGCAACTAGCGATTGGAATTCTCATTTCACCTCAAATTAATCATGCGACTCAGTGGCTGGCAAGTAGCCATAAGTTAATGTTAGCTGACTTGCTATGTTGACATAAGCTTGGTTTTAAACATGCACAGATAAAACTATAGGATGGTTCATTGGACGAAACAAGGTAAATTGCAAACAATCTTCAGAATCTCCAATATAAATTAGGTTTCCCCTGTCAATATAGGTCTTTATGAACTGTCTTTTAGTTTAGTAGAGTATTTGTATATCAGGTAAGACTATTTTTTATACCTTGTTTTGTGAACTTATTTTTTAAGGATCGTCAGAGGAGGGCGAAAAAAAAAAAAAATTTAGTTTTCGTATTTAGCAAAATAGATTTGCTAAAAACATCCAGACGGAGGAGAAAATAAAAATAAAATTTTATTGTTGAATGCAAACAGTGTAGTAACGGAATGGTTGATTTAAATTTATATTATTAGGAAGAAGTATACATATAATATTTTTTGAAAGATTTTAGGGCACCAGCGTGTGTAATCGGGCAAAGAAAAACTTTTATTTTTTTCTGAAATTTTAATTTTTTTGTGGCAGCGTGTGTGGTAATTGGCCAAAAATTAAATATTATTTTTATTCGAAATAATCAATATTGGCAGGCAGCAGGCTTGTGAAACAAGATATAAGGTCTTGTCTCAATGGTTGAGTCAATTTATTTACCTTCAATTAAATTCAATGGCATCACAAAGTCCAATGAAAGAAGTGCAACATTTGGTCGAGCGTCAAAATATTTTTGATCTTGAAATATTCCACTGTAATTCAAACCTGCCACAGGATAATCCTGAACAAATAAGCAAAATATAAGTTTAAATCATGACAGTAATCATGTTTCTACACGAGTACATGTAACACAGCATTCACTATATGTAGTAAAATCTGGTAGAAATATAAATAAAATAAATTAAAACACTTAATTGCACATTTGAAGGTAATATCGTTTTTATTTACAATCCGTATGACATTGAAACAATTAAGTCCTTAATTTGAATACCATTAACAATTAATATTATAATTAACCTTTACAAAGCTTTAAGTAACTGTAATTGGTTGTTAATATCCATTTAACAGAGGGTCCAGTCTCAGTGAAGAATATGAATTTTATTATTAATGTCTGGAAAGCTTTTTCACCTTTCAATTAAAAGTTAATAACTTACTTACAATATACACAAAGCAAACAACTTTTTAGCTTTACACTACAGACTGTTTATTCATAAAATATTATATTAATGATAGGTTGTGTGCATACTTTCATACTTAAAATAATAACACTTATAATATTAATATTATTTGATTATTATCATCATTAATGGTAATATTAATATTCATTTGCCTCATTTCACCCAGGGGTATAAATGGGTACCTGGTATAAGGTGAATGAATAGGAATGAAATTAGAAGTGCTGAATTACACCAAAAATACTAGAAACACAAGATAGAGTTCTCCACAGAAAAGAACTGTTCCACTGAAATGCATGGTTGGAATACAAACAATGGGGCACCACCTACGACTGGATGTAAAAAACTTCTGACAGACTTACACCGTAACGGTGAATAAATAACCTCCTTTTGCGGAGGTAGATTGTTGTCATTATCCACAAGATACAAACAAGTAGGCATAAACCAAAAGAATAAAATGAGAGACATGTTAAACTTGTAACACTGAAAGTAGAATGTTCTGAGTTTTTCAGAAAAATAAAATTATCTTGAATCTTGAGAAGCGTATAACTGGACTCTGATTAGTGATAAAGCTTCAATCATTAGCGGAAAGAGAAGGGCGCTGCACACGTCTGGATTTACTTAGCAACAGAAGGGCGCCATGTACGTCTGGACCAAGAATAGATAAACTTGCATTACAAAAAGAGAAGGGCGCCGCGTACATCTGAAGCAATTTCCGCTTCATTTTTCCTATGCAAGTGCTCTATCTTTTGTTTCTAGTATCTTTAATTACACGCATGACTATGAATACTCCACAGGGAGAGGAGCAAGTTGCACCTTGCATATCCAATGGCCAAGAAAGTGCTATAAGCAGTTCTTTCTCAGACGATTATTATTACTGATTATTATTACTAATTATTTATTGTAATTTTCGTAATAATAATATGGGCATTTACGTAAAGGCTTTCCTTACATTTGATAGTGTGTACTGTTCAATTAACGCTAGGCTCTGGAAAAAAATTGATATGTTGTACTGATTTTTCTACGACAAAAAAAAAACATATCTGACAAAAACCTTGGGGACAGTTAATGATACAGATTTTTTAATATTAAAGAACTGGGGGAAAAGGGGTGTAACCACCCTGCCAAAACAACTGTGCTATATATTCAGAAGAAAATAATTGGGACAGTAGCAGAAACTTACCAATTCAACACCAGCTAGGGTTTCACCTGTGGTTTGGGACGGTAACAGGTATCTCAACACACCTGCTATTTGTTGCTCTTTGCCATTTATCAGGTTGTCAATGATACAGACTCTCATTCCAATTTTGAACTCGTCAAAAATAGCTTTCATAGGTTCCTGTCTTGCTGATGATTCATCAAAAATCAATTTGTCAAATGGCACAAACATTCCACTATTGTCTTCACATTTGAAATATTCTTTCTTGCAAAATGTTCCATCTGTGGTACCTAGCCCTCTATGTGACTATAATAAAGTAGTGATAGAGCTTTAAATTTTAATACTTAAGGAGAAATTAAACTAGGGCTAGAAGCCATAATTGGGAGGGCTGCCAAGGCCATGCTCACAGAAGCTCTGGCATCCTGAGAATTTAGATACTGTGAGTTATTCCTAAGAATGCAGTATGATATATTATGGTACAAAGATTTTGAGAAAAACAGTTATTTTTTTATCTAGATTCTGTTTTCTAAGTGTAACAATTTTATGTACACAATAAGTAAGTGTTAATTTGTCAATCCATGCAAGGAGTCTAAATCTCTATAATAAAGAAAAAAATATTTGCCACTGATTTTATTTGTTGTATTACAAAGTTACAAAGATACTCTTTCATACATAATACATACCAGAATACTCATATTAAAACGTTTAATTCTAAAACAGTGTCTGAGAGAAAATTAAAAGTGTTTCTAAGTACAGGTAAATATTGCATTCACATAGATGGTTTCATAACAAGACATTGTTTATATAAATCAGCATTTACATTTTGCTAGTTAGTTAATCTATAGGGTTTTAAATACAGTTTATACAGTGTTAAATTGAATAAATAACATAATAAAGACACAAGCATTTCTTTATAAACGTTTGTTTCCGATGATAGGACCTACAGTATGATAGGCCTACTGAACTACGGGAATACGTGAAATAGGTAACATGGGAAAAGGCATGGAAAGCGCCACTCTAATATTTTTTCCATAAGCGCCACTCTCTGAAGCCTCCAAAAATGTTATAAGCGCTGCGGCGCTAATTCAAGCATTTACGGTATATTCTCAAACCAAAACACATACTTACAAGGAGTTCAACCCCAAATAAAATTCCTTTAGTTGAAACAGGGTTGCCTTTGTACCTTAATACAGCTTCAGCAAAAAACAGTTCATATGTGGGTTCTTTCAAAACCACCTGAACAGCATCACCGACCTTTACTTCCACAGCTCCTTTAAGTTTATGCTTATTAAGAAAAGATGATAATCTCTTCCTAAGATTGGAGATTGCAAGTAAATAATCAACATATTCATTGTAAATTTGTTCAATATTCTTGTTTCCCGTAAAAGTAAAATATAACCCAGTCTCTGAATCCAGGGATTCTGCATGCAAAACATATTCATGAGCAGGATCTTGTCTACACTTCAGAATTGTTCCTGCCAATATCTTTTGGTGTTTGTAAGGGCCTCCGGGCACCTCAAAGTCTACATGAACAATGAAGTGTTTATGACTATCAGCCATGTTAAAACATCAAACATCTGCAATGAAACAAAGATTGTAATAATTAAGTTATCTTCTCATACAGTATTCTTCCAATTTAAGACTAAATTTCTGTTTTGAAGGCTTTTGACTTACATCTCCATAGAAACATGTGAATAAGTCAGACTCATTCAAAGTGGGTCATTAGGAAACTCCATGTTTAAAATACAGTAAATTATTACATAAGAAGGCAGCTCTAAAATACGCACTGCAAGGTAGCACAAAATATAAATAAATAAATGTAATAATTAAGGGTACAATAATCTATGTTGTGCGCAGTTTGTTACTTTTTGCATTTTAGGTTTCTGATGTTGTATCAAACTGTGCGCGCAGTATGCAAGGTTTCTTTCACAGGGTTCGTACGTTTTTAAACAAGCAAATTTCCAGGACAATTCCAGGACATTCCAGGTAAAATTTTCCGAATTTCAAGGACTCATATTATCTCTTATTACTATAAAAGTAGAACAATTTGCCAATTTTACGATTGATTATACAACATGCATGCTGTACTAATTTTAATTGCAAGATGTTCTTATGTATGGGGTGCCATACGCAGCAAAAGTCCATGTTAAAATCAAAATGTAATTGCAAAATTCAATGTCTAATTTATCAAAACGTAGGCGTAAATTTCTCAAAATGTAGATCTAGTTTCCCAAAATGAAGTTCTAATTTTTCAAAACGTAGTTCAAATTTTTCAAAATGTAGTTCTAATTTCTTTAAAATTAATTCAAATTCAAAACGTAGGTCTGACTTGATCAAATGCCCTCTCCAAATTCTATTCCAAAACGTAAATAAAAAACCAGGCTGGTTTGAAATGCATTTGACAACAACGCTAGAAATGGACTTTTGCTGCGTATGGCACTAGACTTGCGAAATGTAAAGCAAAACTAATCAGCTAAGCATGACGTGGGCCTGTTCCATTAATGATGGGGGAATCAGTTTTCGCCGCAGTCCAATGCCGTGAACAACGCTTCCCAGTGCGTCTGCTAATTTTTAATGGTCAGGGTACCGCGACCACAAGTTCAGGCCCGTAGGCAAGGGTGGGGGGTGGAGGGGGAGTGTGCAGAGGGTGCGGACGCACCCCCCCCCAAATTCCAAAAGGTACACTTTTTGAAACCTATGATTTCACAAAATCGTTCCTAATTATCACAAAATGTTATAGCATGCCTGCATGCATTATATATTTGCCAGCGTATCTAACCGTTGATTTTTAATAATGTGGC